TTGCCCTATTTGGGCAAATTACTTGAGAGAGCGGTGGCGATTCAGTTGCAGAGCTTTATTGATGACACTTCCATGCTAGACCGGTTTCAGTCCGGCTTCTGGCTGGGTCATGGGACGGAGACAGCACTGGTCGCACTCATGGATGACCTCCAGAGGCATCTGGATCGAGGCGGTACGGCGGTGCTGTTGCTATTAGATGTGTCGGTGGCATTTGACACCATCGATCATCAGCTACTGATCCACCGCCTCACCGACATTGGGATTCAGGGGTTTGCCTTGCAATGGCTTGTCTCCTTTCTCCAAGGTCGGGGACAGAGGGTGGCGTTAGGGGAGCAGACATCCCAGAGGTACCCGCTGGTCTGCGGGGTTCCTCAAGGGGCGGTACTGTCCCTGATGTTATTCAACATCTACATGCGCCCCCCTCACACAGATTGCCCAGAGGCATAGGCTAGGGTGCCATCAATACGCAGATGACACCCAGCTATATCTGCTGTTGGGCGACCAGTCCGACACTATCCCAGATGACCTGGAGCTTTGTGATGTGATGGGCTGGCTTAGACTGAGTCGATTGAAATTGAATCCAATGAAGACGGAGGTCCTGTGCCTGAGTCGGAGTAAACCAGGGGTATGGATCCCACTCCCGACCTTTGACGGGGCGCCATTGGTGCCAGCGCCGAGGGTTAGGAGTTTCAGAGTGCTTCTGGATGCCACCTTAACAATGGAGGCCCAGGTAGCAGCCACTGCCAAGGCAGCCTTTTACCATCTGCGGCTGATCAGGCAGTTGGTTCCCTTCCTCGAGATTAGACTACTGCAACGCTCTCTTACATGGGGCTTCCCTTCTCTCAGATCCGGAAGCTGCAGCTAGTGCAAAATGTGGTGGCCAGGCTGCTGATGGGTCTCTCTATACGAGACCACATCCAACCTGCACTGAAGGCATTGCACTGGCTGCCAATAGCTTACCGGATCTGTTTCAAGGTGCTGGTTTTGACCTTTAAAGCCCTCTATGGTCAGGGGCCTGCCTACCTGAGGGACTGTCTTTCCCCACATGTGCCCCAGAGAGCATTGAGGTCAGGAACACAGAATTGCCTGACTCTTCCTGGCCCAAGAGATGTCAAGTTGGCTGCTACTAGAGTCAGGGCCTTTTCAGTGGCGGCTCCACACTGGTGGAATGAGCTCCTGGATAACATCAGGGCCCTGCGGGACCTTTTACAGTTCCACAGGGCCTGCAAAATGGAGCTCTTCCACCAGGCCTTTGATTAGGAGCTGCTGCTGATGACTGGGCCACTGGTGAAAGCGCCACTGACGAATGTGCCGCCGGAATATATCTTGGCCCACACGAAACACTGGCTGGTTATTGCTGCTGTTTGTATATTGCACGCTGCCATCATCATTATTATCATTAGTACTGTTTAGTTGCTTAGGCAGTTGTATTTATTCTCCATTGTATTTTAATGTATTTATTGTTTTAGTGTTTTTAATGTTGTTAGCTTCCTTGAGCCAGTTCTGTGGCAAGGTGGGATAAATTGAAATAATAAATAAATAAATAAATAAGAGATTGGATTTATACCCTGCCCTTCATTACCCAAAGGCGTCTCAGAGCGGCTTACAAACTCCTTTCCCTTTTCCTCCCCACAACAGACACCCTGTGCGGTAGGTGGGGCTGAGAGAGCTCTTTCAAGAACACCTCTGACAGAACTACAGCTTGCCCAAGGTCATCCAGTGGCTGCAAGTGAAGGAGTGGGGAGTCAAACCCGGTTCTCCCAGATTAGAATCCGCGCACTTAACCACTACACCAAACAGTGTCCATAACTCTCTCTACAGGCATTTGTACAGAAGAAATTGAGAGAGGGAACAGGTTGCTTAATCTTCCCTGTGCCCACCTATTTTCCTTTGCAAATAACCCCAGCCCCCCCCCCAAACTTACCTCTGTTCTCAGAGACTTTGTGGGTAGAGGGAAATGGGTTAAAATGGCCTTGGAGATGTCTGCAGAGGGGAATACTTGGGCAATGGAAGGGTTTACCTCCTCCCTACCCATTCTTTCCCCCTACAAATGGCTCCTCCAGCCCACTTTAGCAGTATGAGGGAAACCACATGGGGGTTCCTACACAAAGAAAGTTTAGCTGCAGGAGAAGAGGAGGTAAAAGGGATCAGATAGCAGGGGACTTCTGCCTGCCAAGCAGAGCCCAGATCCTGTGTGTGTTTTAAATGTTTGGGTCCCTCCCCCACTTTTATTATGCATATGAAAATAAGCCTCATGGTGATAAGAACTGGCATCTAAAGTCAAACGATATCTGCACCATTAGTAAAAAACACAAGAAAAACAATGAAAAATAATCAGTACAAAGATATATAACATGGTTAACATGAAGGAATTAAGTACATTTGTGTGTATATCTATATCTATATCAATGTATCTCACCATAGTTAATTTAGGGAAAAAATCATACAAAGAAATAACACTGGACTGGATCCAGACTATAATGGTTTTGTACATGCAGAATAATGCACTTTCAATTCACTTTCCAGGCACTTTAGTGATTGTTTGCAAGTGGATTTTCCCATTTCACACACTGGCCCATTCTGCATCTAGCATTCGCCCTGCTGTTTTACCAAACCCACAAGGAAACAGAAAAAGATGAGGCTCAAAACCACATTCAAATGCCATACTGACTGCAGAGTCACCTCTGAACAGCTATAAAATGGCCATAAAATCTATGCAGACAGTACCATAAAACAGAGATCAGAGGAAGTGAAGCCAACAAGCAGTGTGGAGGCTTCCATTAAATCCTACCACCAAAGTGAAAGTGGCATGCAATGTAAAGGGGAATTTATGTTCCAATGTGGCTTTGGTAGAACAGCCCAAATGCTAGATGCAGAATGGGCCAGTGAAATCCAGCTGCAGAGTGCGTTGAAAGTGAATTGAAAGTGCATTATTCTGCATCCATGGAAGGAGATTCAATTGGCAATTTACATTGATGTCTTCCTTCCCACCGCAGACTCCCTTCATATTGTTCCTCATGTCCCCCAGCGGCAGGGTTTCAAGGAGATCAGCAGGATGTAGTGGGGGGGGGGGGGGCGGGAAAGCTGTATTCCACTGTTGGAAAATTTAGTCTAGATCCAGCCCACTGTTAATACCAAGGAATGCAGATCAGGAGACTGATAGTTTTTCTCAGTTGACAAAAAGTTTTATCCCAAGGCAACTGAAGAGGCCCTGTCTATGTCAGCAACATCCTTTGGTGGTGGCCAGGCAGAGCAGCCGGCGCTAGGTTATTATAACTCATGTCACTAACTTCAGTCCACACAGTGCTAAGTCAATTTATTTTGCGTTTTCTGAAACAACAGTCGTGATGAGCTCATTGCAGCTCTCTATAAAAATGTTTATGACGGTCAGAGAAACCTTTTTGATAAATGGCTCCGGAGTTCACCATTTAAGTGTTTTCTCTCTTTTAAAATGTCTGTTATTAATATTTTATAGTGTCAGGTCATTTTTATGTTTTACTTTGTATGGATTTGTTGTTTTATGCTGGTTATGCTTTTTTAAACACAGCTCACTGGAAAATACAATCAATCGTGGGAAAAGATTGTTGGCAATGGGTAGGCTTGGGAGTCCCTATGAGCATTAAAAAGAAAATGTATACAGTGCCACCAGGGAACCAACTGCCCCACAGAATTAATGAAAGAGACAGGGACCCAGGACTTAAAGAGGCTACTGCCCAAAACAGACAACTGGGAAGCAAGAGATGGATGGAATGAAAGTACAAGGGAAGGAGGGGATGAATAAAAGGAACGGATAAAAGGAAGTACTTCTTCACCCAAAGAGTGATTAACACATGGAATTCACTGCCACAGGAAGTGGTGGCGGCTACAAGCATGGACGGTTTCAAAAGGGAATTAGATAAGCATATGGAGCAGAGGTCCATCAGTGGCTATTAGCCACAAGGTATAGATAGGGGCTCTGGGGCAAGTGATGCTCTGTCTTCTTGGTGCTTGGGGGGGTCAACAGTGGGAGGGCTTCTAATGTCCTGGCCCCACTGGTGGACCTCCTGATGGCACTGGTATTTCTGGCCACTGTGTGACACAGAGTGTTGGGCTGGATGGGCCTTTGGCCTTATCCAACATTGGCATCTCTTATGTTCTTATGAATGTACAGGCTGGATCAAACAACTGCCTCTTTGGGGACCCACAGGATTTTGGAGGTTGATGTTTGAAGCAGGGTAATGTAGCAATTAGGAGTACTGGAGTAGCCCTTGTGAGGCCCAAGTTCAATTCACAATAGATGACCAGGGGCTACTCTCGGTCTAACCTACTTCATAGAGATGCTGGGCTTCTAAAATGGCAAAGGTACAGTACCCTGCACGCCTTGCAAAAAAGGCTAGATATATAGCTAGATCAATTTCAAGCAGGAGGTGTGCCAGGAGTTACCAACCACAAGATGGAGCCTGGAGTTTTCCCAGAATTACAGCTGATCTCCAGATTACAGAGACCAGTTTCCCTGGAAGCTCTGGAGGGAGGACAATAAGAATAATAAGAAGACAAAGATGAACATGAAGAAGAAGGAGAGGAGGAGGAGGAGGAGGAGGAGGAGATTGGATTTATACCCCACCCTTCACTACCCGAAGGAGTCTGAGAGGGGCTTACAATCTCCTTTCCCTTCTCCTCCCCACAACAGACACCCTGTGAGGTAGGTGGGGCTGAGAAAGCTGTTTTGTGAACTGCTCCTGTGAGAACAGCTCTGAAATAATTTGTAACTGACCCAAGGTCACACCAGCAGCTGCATGTGGAGGAGTGGGGAATCAAACCCGGTTCTCCCAGATTAGAGTCCGCGCTCCTAACCACTACACCAAACTACGGGTGACATAGCCCCAGAGTGACATCACATCCCCATGGAGATCCCTCTGTTCCCAAAACTCTGCCCTCCCAAATCTCCAGGAATTTCCCAAAGACAGGCTTGGCAACCCTAGGTGTACCCCACTCTGTCCCCTCCTCCAAGATACACTCACCAGTTGTTGACTTGTAAGAGCGTGAGGTTGGTCTGTGCCGCGATCTGCCTTTTCTCGTCCTCTGTCGGGTAAGGGTGCTGAAAAGAGAGAAGGGCCATCGTCACTTGCACTGCATGCTACTGGCGGGGATTATCCTGAGCTCTTCCTGAAAGAGGAGATTTGAAGCACAGCAGGGATGCCATTGTCAGCTTCAGAGAACTGAAAGGCTCAGCTGGAACGGCTGCTGTTCAGAGGTGTCTCTGTCCTTGTCATGTTACAGAAACTAGAAACATTTTGTGTTGACTTCCACCTCTGAATTTCTCTTGCTGTTTCTTATTCCTGGGAGGAACCAAAGGGGCTGCATACTTATCAGACCAACTGGATTTTCAATAGATGCCAAGCGAGTTAGTAGCTCCGGGGAAACAAATTAAGAAAGTGATCAGGGAGGAGAAGGGAAGAAAACAAGAAAAAGATTTGTGACATAAGGCACTTTAGAGTGACACAGGTTTGGTTCAGGTGTAACGACAAATAAAAGGGAGCAGAATGAGTCTGAGGGAGTTGTCTCTGTCCTCTTCTAGTGTGAGGCCTGATAATGACAGATTTCTGCTTTCATGGCAAACCACAGTTTGTTGTTTTACAGCTGGAAAGACAAACTATGCCTTGCGCTTTCTCTGTAAAGCAGAAACTGGGGTTGGAATCCCAGTTTTCAGGAGACACCATGGTTTCCTACAAAACTGGAAAGATCTAATTATCTAGAAATATCTGTGGGAAGCAGAAGGAGACAGTGTGGAAACCCAAGGATTGCCCATATTCATTCCCAGAGCAGCAAACTATGGTTTGTTGCGGCATTTGAAGCAAGCCATAATACAGTGGCTAAACATGTGACATGTCCCTGCATCAAACTTTAGTTCAGTTATATATTCTCACACCAGCCTTAGAGAAGTCTCTCTCAGGCCACAGTCAGACGTGCCATTTGGTGCGGAGGGGAAGTGAGCCTATTTTCCCCGGTGGAAATTGACACGGCATTGCACGATCACACATCCTTTGTAGCTGCAGGCTCAGCCTGTCACTGCCCGATCAGATGCCACTTTCATGTGAGTGGGATTTTTTTGGCTTTTGTTTCCCATGCGCATAAACGGGGAATCGCACCTCTACACTGAGGGTTGCCCATGGAGTGTGCAGCTACACGCATACTGAGTCGGGATGGAATGAGCAGACCATCGCCATGGCATGAGAGCGTGCTTGAGCAATCAGACAGGGGAAAGTTTGTGTCCATAGACTGTCACCAAGACTGTCCCTGGTGTCTTTTAACTCCACTTCTGTGGCGGGGCAGCACAGGGTGCTGCCAGCTGCAGGACCTTTCCCAGATGTTGCTGTCTGATCATGCCCTTTAGATCCGTCAGGCACTTGCAGCTGAGTTGGATTTGAAGGCCCATCTGACTGCGGCCTCAGTCCCTCATAGTCTCCACCCTCCCAAGCAGCTATTTTCCCCATAGTCTGGAGATCAGTTCTAATTCTGGGAGATCTTCGGGCCACACTTGGAGGTTGGCAACTCCAGGGTCAACTGGGAGACAAAACGTGACAGCAAATCAGAGCCTGGCTTTGCATAACACACAATACAGCTCTACATTACAGCTTGTTGCTCAGTAATGCTATGTATTCATAAAGATTAGCCCTGACAAAATAAAATATAAACTTGACCAATAAGATAGATCCAGGTGGGCTGTCGTGTTGGTCTGAAGCAGCAGAACAAATTTAGAGTCTGGTGGCACCTTTAAGACGAACAAAGTATTATTTGAGGTATGAGCTTTTGTGTGCACGCACACTTCTTCAGATACATTGGAACAGAAGGTCAGGTTCAGACTTATACACGGGATGTAACTTGACCAATGTTGTACTGATGCTCCTAGATTTCATGCTGGGGGGGGGGATACAGTAAACCCTGAGAAATACAGTAAGTGGGACCCACCTCAAAAAGCGTAAGGACAACTGGCTTAAATCAGGGGTCACCTACCTTACCTTTAATGAGAGCTTCTTCTGAGTAATGGAAAATCGCCTGAACTACTCCCTTCCCTTCCTATCAGGTTACCAAGTTTTGTTCTGTCTTAGAAGATGAGACAAGGAAGAGTACTAGAAATGAAGCTATGAGCTAACTGGCACGGGGAAAAAATCCTATGAAATTAAAACTTGCGATACAAAAGCCTAGCGCAGATCTTCCCTGGAACTTTTAGGGAATGCACAAACTACGTCATAGCAGAAAGCAATCTACGGGTAAGTTTTGTTGTTGTTGTTGTTCAGTCGCACAGTCGAGTCTGACTCTTCGCAACCCCATGGACCATCTCCCGCCAGGCCCTCCTGTCTTCCGCCGTCCTCTGAAGTTGGCTCAATTTCATGTTCGTTGCATCGATGACACTGTCTAACCATCTCATCCTTTGCCGTCCCCGTCTTCTTTGACCTTCAATCTTTCCCAGCATCAGGGTCTTCTCCAGTGAGTGCTCCCTTCTCATTTGGTGGCCAAAGTACTTGAGCTTCAGTTTCATTATCTGGCCTTCCAGGGAACAGTCAGGGTTGATTTCTTTTAGGATTGACTGATTTGTTCTCCTTGCAGTCCAAGGGACTCTCAAGAGTCTTCTCCAGCACCATAGTTCAAAAGAATCTATTCTTTGGCGCTCGGCCTTCCTTATAGTCCAACTCTCGCAGAAAGCAAGCGAGTACCAGAAAAATATCTACTTCTGCTTCATTGACTATGCTAAAGCTTTTGACTGTGTGGATCACAACAAACAAACGGGTAAGAGACCCCTGGTTTAAACAATTTCTCGTGATCAGGTTATTTTACAGATCAGACAGCAGATGGCAGCAGCACCCCGGCTTGGCAGTGGGTGAAAAATTGGGAAATGGGCTGTAAGCAACATCCTTTGCTATACAAGGACACTAATGAGTTACAGAGGGAAACTCATGCAAACCACTGAATCACATAAGATGAGTCTTTTCCTTCTTTTATTCTGAGCCATAACAGCTCCCAGCACGAGACTCTGGGAGCCAGAAACAGATATCTCAAGCAGGCCCAATGGTTATTTTACATGCACTCAGTAATTCAGAAATCTGATTCTGAGTGTTAATCGATATGATTTCACTGCCTTTTTAGATACTCCCATGGATGGAAGGCAGAGAGCCCACCTGTGTCCAGTAAGTGCCCTATCCAAAAGCCACAGCCATCCACTCACCTATCTTGCACAGGCCAAACAGCACCATCCAGTCCGCAACGTATTGCAAGTACAGAGCAGGTCCTTAAATTGCATTTGTATACTCTGTCTATGTGACAGAACTTAGAATGCTAAGGAAAGGCAGAGCTGCTTTGCTATTTCCCTTTTAAAGCTTGTCTGGCATTTGACAATCTCAACTAGAGGTTTCACTTCTGCAATATGTGCAACTTGGAATTCCACTGACATTGTCAGTAGCTGGGACTTGAGTGAGGAGCTGCCAAAAAACTGGCCAAAGCTGGACAGGAGGGAAAATGGGAGGCCCCACCTCTAACTGCCCTTCTCAGCGTGTGTGCAACCCTCACACATCTCCTTGCTACGGTCTCTGCGCTGCCCAACTCGCACTAAGCACTGCATGCATTTGGCAGCACATCCTTCTTTCCTATTCCACACACACACAAAAATCAGTCATCAAAGATGCCAACTGGATGCAAATTGAAACAAAAGTCTGGTGGCACCTTCAAGGCTAACAATGTTTATTTCAGTATAAGCGTTCGTGAGTCACAGCTTGCTTCTTCAGGTACGTGAAAGGAAATCATACTGAGAATTATTCTCTTAAGATTAGAAACGGGGGACACTGAGGCAGAGAGGTTTGGAATGAATTCTGTCCTGAGTCTTCCAAGTGTAAATTCTCAGTGTAAGAGGAAAAGGGAGGCGCTGAGGCAGAAAGGTGAGGTGCGAATCCCGTCATAAATCAATAGAATTAGCAGCTGCACATCATGGATGATGTGAGCAGTCAGAGGTTCAGACATATAAGAAAAGTGATGAAGTAGAATAAATAGGGCACACATAATTCCTCAGGGAGAAGAAGCCTAAAGTTTAAATGAATTGGATGGTTTGTTCCCATGGCAGCTCGAAGCTGTTACTTCAGTGGGAGTTTATCAGGGTCCACTGAGAAGCATGAACATGAGAAAGGGAATTTTATATTGTCGTGAATGTGCAGGTCCTGGGAGGGAAGCTCATAAACCAGTGCCCCTGCCTGCTACTTCTGCCTTCATTCCCAGCTTCTTTATCTATTTAATTCATTTGTACCCCCCCTTCCACAATGGGGACCCAAAGCAGCTTAGATCATTCTCCTCTCCTCCATTTTGTCCTCACAACAACCCCGTGAGGTAGGTTAGGCTGAGAGAGTGTGACTGGCCCAAGGTCACCCAGCAAGCTTCCATGACACAAGTGGAGGGATTCAAACCCAGGTCTCCCAGATCCTAGTCCAACACTCTTAACCACTAAACCACACTGGCTCTCTGAGCCTAAAGCACTACCCACTGCACATGACTGTGGACACATACTGAGTCAGACCACTGGTCCATCTGGGTCAAATAAGTCTATTCTGGCTCTCCAGGTTTTCAGACAAAGGGTCTTTCACGTCATCTGCTACTAAGGTTGCTAAACTCCAGGTGGGGCCTGGAGATCTCCTGCTTTTACAACTGATCTCCAAACTACAGAGATCAGTTCCCCAGGAGAAAATGGCTGCTTTGGAGGGTGGACTCTCTGGCATTCTACCAGGCTGAGGTCCCTCCTCTCCCCCAAACCCTGCCCACCAAGTTCTCCATGTATTTCCCAACCTAGAGCTGGCAACCCTACCTGCTACTAGATCCTTTTAACCAGACGGGCCAGGGGTTGAACATGGCACCTTCTGTTTGCCAAGGCCGAAGCCCTGCCATGGAGCCATAGCCCCTTCCCTGATACGGAGTTTTCCAAGGACTGTCTAGCCCTTATTGCACCACTACTAACATTTCCCCTACAGGCCACTGTACAAACAGGCATGGCATATTTTTTACAAATGCGCCCATCTCCTGTTCCTCGCTACAGCAAAACATAACTGTGTCTGCAATAAA